TTAATTTTTTGAATTTAATAAAATCAAAATTATTTTATTAAATAATAGAGTTACAAACTAATAAATCTTAATTAATAATTTTTTTACATTTAATAAATATAATTTTTTTATTAAATAGTGTTTTCCTATAAAAAAACAAATGGAGTTACAATAACGCTATAGTTAATAAAAATGATTAAATAATTTCGTTACATTAACAAACAAAATTAAAATATTAATTTCAATTCAACTAAAATTTATTTCATTGAAACTAAATATTTTTATACCTTATCTAATTTGAACATATGAGATTTTTAAAGAGAAAATAATTAATTAACTATATCAGTTGAATTATAATGATTTACTTACAATAATTAATTATGCTAATTAATATTATTTGATACTTTCAAAAAAAAGCTTATAATTTTACTTTTATTTTTTTATTAAAAATAAATAAGTAAATTATTTAAATTAAAGCAACATAAATATAAAATTATAATAATTTTCTTAAAAATTATATTCAATTTAATTAAAAAGAAAGAAAATTATACAGTCCGGCATTGTGCGGTTACATGGGTAGTTTAAAAAAAAATGAAAAATAAAAAAAAATCTGGCATTCATAAATAGTATTTTAAGGGCTAAATCATTAAACAAATTCTAAACTTTGCAGTAAGTTTTAATTGTATCCTAAAACCAAATTTATTCTCCTAGTACTCTGAACTTCAATTTTAGTTATAATAACAATTTAATTTCAAATTATATCCAATTTAATAAATAAAATATTATTTTCATTGGACCTACATGGTCAAGTTAACTAAAATAAAATAACAATGCCCTAACTAATATTGGTTATAATTTTCTTTAAAATTCATAAAAAAAGTAAAATAATAAATTTTAGTTAGTAATAAGCATATAATATTAGTTTGGGTTTTTGTTTTGTAATTTTTAAGCATATAATTTTAGTTAGGATTTATTAAAATTATATTTAAATTAGATCTCTTATAAAATATGATTTATTCATTACAGTATAGTATTATTTATGAGATCATTACTTGTTGTCAATATTATATATATAAATACATAATATTTTATTTTAAAATGAATATATTATTTATTAGATCTCTATAAAAGTATGATTGTATTCCTTACAGAAAGGTTTAGTATTATTGTATGAGATCATTTACTTGTTGGTCAATATTATGATATATAAATACATATATTTTATACTTGTTGTCAATATTATATATATAAATACATAATATTTTATTTTAAAATGAATATATTATTTTTATTTTAATATTAGGGACAATTTGAAAATAATATTGGGTATAATTTAAATTTAGGGTACTATTATAATTAATGTTGAAGTTCAGGGTATTAGGAAAAAAAAATTAAATTTAAGGTACAATTAAAATTACCGGCAAAGTGTAGATGTTTTTTAATGATTTAACCTATTTTAAAATGAAAGTTTAAAAATCATTCAACTATTACATATTTTCAAAAAAAATCCAAATTATTAAAAATTTTCCGGTTTATGAAGTGTTTTCGTCTTATGTCAATTTTAATAGAATAAAAAATAAAAAAATCAATGAAAAAACATCAACAATCTAAAAAAAGGAAAAAAAAATGTTTTCTTTTTAAATTGATTTATGCAATTTATCTGTCAGTGAATAATTCAATTTTTTTCATTTTCTATTAATGCATAATTAAAATTTTCATGCCATTAAAGAATTTTATATTTTCATAGGATTTAATTTTATGTTAGTAAATAATTTAGACTTTCATGAGCATAAATCCCGGCACGATGTGCCGGTTGATTATCATAAACTAACTTTTGTAAATCTAATTTTAAAGTATCGTACTCATGTAATTTAGTATCGCATCATAATTCATATTTGTTGACTTCATCTATAATAATTTCAATTTATAAATAACATTATGAATATTACACTAACACTGACGTGCATATATAATTATGTAAGAAACTATAATAGTATGCATACATTCTGAACTAATATAGTTTCATTTAAACATTTGTCATTGGATGATTATGTTTTTTCAATTAAATGAAATTGAAAATCCATGCATGTACATTTATGCTTGTGTTGAATTAGTACAAAATATTATACACTTTACAAAGCACGTGGCACGTGTGTATATATATATATATATTAAAAAAAGTGGTAGGAATATAGTTAAGGAAGATTAAAAAAAAAAAGTTTGTGTGGGCAAATAATGTTGTTATATTTATTATTGGTGTGAAAAAAATTAAATATAGTCAATATGGAAAGAAAATTATTTGAAAATTTTAAACTGAAATTATTTGAAAGAATGATTAAAATAATAAAAGGATTAAGTGAGGAAATAATATTGGATAGAAATGTCATTAAAAACTATAAAAGGATTAAGTGAGAAAAATACTATAGCGGCAAGAATTTAATCAAAGAATAATAAAAGGGTTAAAAAGAAAATATTATGGGATAAAAATGTAATTATATAAAAATAAAAGCATTAAGTGGAAAATCGCTGTTATGGGCCTTATGGCAACAATGTTTTCCCAAGCCGTAGGTCTCTGTTGACTGCTGTTTTATTTTGTTTTTTCTTTTAATTTTAAATGGTAGTAATATAATTAATGGATAATAAAAGCGCAGAGTTGGGAAAACAGTGTTATGGCAACAGTGACTTTCCCACGCCCTTTAGATATATATAGGCACGACGGATTCATTGAACCGTGAGTCTCAGATCGGAAGCAGTGGATAAAAATTTATAAAGTATTGAGTTTGAATTGATCTTTAAATCTCAGTTTCGGTCTGATTTCAATTTCAGTGTAATTTTAATGAATAGACAGTTTCGTTCGCAGTTTTTGGCTATATATATATATATATTAAAAAATCAGTTCTAATGTTACATTTTTCTTTTGAAAATATTAATATGAATTTAAAAAATATTGGTAAATTTTATTTTTAATAAATTTACCAATGCTCATATTCATGTAAGAATAAAATTAATTAATTTTATAAAATAATTAAATAAATTTTCACTTTATTTTATTTAAATGTTATTAAAAAATATTTCAAACTTATAACTTTATTTAATGTTATAATTAAATAAATTATAAGAAAAATTTTGAAAATACTTGAAAAGAATGTAATTATGAACTTCAATAAGAACTCAATTTAAAAGGTGTACAAAAAAAAAAAAAAAATTATGCAAAAACAAACAGTATATAGCATTTTGACCCTCTAATCATAATCTCTTTTTTCATCACTCTTTTATTTTTTTTAGATTTTAACTTTTAAAGTAAAATTATTTAAAAAAAATTATTTAAGTAAAAGTATATTTCATGTAGTAAAATATTTTATTTAGACTTTTAGAGATATATAGATAGACTAAGTATTTATTATTTGAAATAAAAATAAGAAATTTTTTTGCATCCATATATGCAGAACTGAGACCTGGAAACAACTGGCTAACAGTCCAATTTCAAACTATTAAGTTTATATTTAATATTTATATTGAAATTAACGAAAACTTAAACTGCGATTTCAATTTCAAAAGTCTTTTTCACATAAAGAAGAACGGTTGCCATGCCTAGATATTATAATTAATGTCTGTCATTCAGTTTTTCAATAGGTCAAAGTAATTTGAGACCATCACATGGAGCTGAAGCTCAACAGTAGAAGAATTGAATATGGAGCGGTGCATACGTTTTATAATATGGACCAGTCAATAAGAGGTGATACCAAGCTTTGTTCTGCTAAAGTACGCACATTCTCAACTCAGGCCTGTAAGCCAGGCGTTAACTCTTAGGATCTTGCGCAATCAGTCCCTCATCTTGAAGACATCGTTCTACATTCAACCTCTCGCATTATCCAAAGTCTATGGCTCACACTTAAAAAAAAACGTCTCTCAGATCCAAAAGATCCTCAGAAGGTCTAATTCGGAGCTTCATTTCATGACATATTATTTCCAAGCCTTGAATATCGAGAACTGGCAGGCAAGATGCCCTTACTAAAATTTTATAGGCTTCATCGGCTAATGGGTATTTTCGAATTCCGTTTCTGTTATAGTTAAGTTCTTAACCTGAAGGCTTAAAAAAGCCGGCGAGACAGAGTAAACGTGAAAGGATAAAGACATATTTGGATTGCAATCGATTGCTTGTGAGATCTCATTCGATGAGCTTTTAGCTCTTCTTCAATTTGACTGACTTCAATAGTAATCCCTTCACCCCGCGTGATGGAATCTAATAAATTATTATCTGCAACTTTTTCGACTGAATGAAAACATTATGATACTGTCATTCTTTGTTACAGAATTCACGCCATCGCGAGAATTGTCCTATTCACAAGATATTTATCATCTAGATTCATCTACTCATACGTACTTAATCTCTTCAACTGTATATAGAACTAATCTTGGCATTGTTGCCATGGCTCCGGTCGAAAACCGCATAGTGCGCTTTGTGATGGTTCATCTCTTATGGGGAAAAATCTTCAAACTTGCGTTTTCAGCTAACATGCTAACTAATGCTAAGTACATAAAACGTAAATTATAAGAAAATTTTGAAAAATACTTGAAAAGAATGTAATTTTGAACTTCATAAACAATTTAAAAGGAAAAAAAAAAGTTAAAAACAGTATAAGTTTGACTAAATATTTCTCTTTTTTTTCATCATTTTATTTTTTAGATTTTTAACTTTTAAAGTAAAATATATTTAAAAAAAATTATTTAAGTAAAGTATATCATGTAGTAAAATATTATTAAGACTTTTAGAGATATATAGAATAGACTAAGTAATTATTATTTTGAAAATAAAAATAGAAAATTTTTTATTTGAGCTGGACAGAAACAACCTGCTAACAGTCAATTTCAAACTATTAAAGTTTATATTTTAATATTTATATGAAATTTAACCGAAACTTAAACTGCGATTTCAATTCAAAATTTTAAAAGACGGTTGCCATGCCTAGATATATATAATAATGTCTGTCATTCAGTTTTTCAATAGTCAAGTAATTTGGACCTGGAGCTCCGACATAGAAGAAAGATATGGGTGCGGTGCGTTTTATTGGTATAGTACAAGTTGTTTTCTGCTATGCATCATAGGCCTGTAAGCCCGTATCTTATCTTCTCTCTTCCTTTAGACATCTCATTCAACCTCTCGCAATTATCAAATTTCTCCCAAAAACTCTATCCAAGATTGGGTCTTTCGCTTTCATTTCATATATTATCCAAGATGATCTCGACTGGCAGCAGATGCCTTACTAATTTTAGGCTTCATCGGCTAATGGGTATTTTCGATTCCGTTTCTTATAGTAGTTCTACCAGTCACAGGCGAGAGGTAAAAGCAATTCTGATTCATTCGATAATATTGATGATGCTTTAGCTTCTTTCAATTTGATGCTTCATAGTAATCCCTCACCGCGTGTATGGAATCTAATAAATTATTATCTGCACTTTTCCGACTGAAACATTATGATACTGTCATTTCTTTGTACAAACAGATGGAATTGTCTAGAATTTCTCTAGATTCATTCTATTAGTATTTTGACTAATTGCTTTTGCCATCTGGACCGCGTGGATTTTGGGTTCTCTCTTATGGGGAAAATCTTCAAACTTGGTTTTCAGCCTAACATTATAATGCTTAATACGTTAATCCATGGGCTTTGTAAGGAGGATGGATTTGATGAAGCTGTGGAATTATTTGATGAAATCGTTGCAAAAGGGTATAAACCTATTATTTACACCTATAATTTGATTGTGATCGTCTGTGTAAAATTGGGAAAACCAATGTGGCCTTTGGTATTCTAAGAAGAATGCTCGAGGAAGGTTGTGAACCTAATGTGGTATCATATAGTGCCATCATTGACAGCCTTTGTAAGGATAAATTAGTTACTGAGGCATTAGAGCTCTTCTTGAAAATGAAGAGTGAAGGCATCTTGCCGAGTGTTGTGACTTACAGCTCTTTAATCCATGGTCTTTGCAAGGCAGGCCGATGGGAGGAAGCTTCTATGCAGCTCAATGAAATGTTGGAAGCAAACATCACTCCGGACTTACCTACAGTATATTGGTTGATGAACTTTGTAAGTGTGGAAGGGTTTCAAAGGCTCATGGCATAGTCAAATTGATGATCCAAAGAGAAATAAAGCCTAATGTTGTGACTTACAGCTCTTTAATCCATGGTCTGTGCAAGTCAGGGCAATGGGAGGAAGCTTCTATGCAGCTCAATGAAATGTTAGAAGCGGACATTGCACCAAACTTAATTACCTTCAATATATTGGTTGATTGGCTTTGTAAGGAAGGAAGGGTTTCAAAGACTCGTGGTATAGTCAAATTGGTGATTCAGAGAGGAATAAAGCCTAATGTTGTGACTTACAGCTCTTTAATCTATGGTATGTGCAAGTCAGGCCGATGGGAAGAAGCTACTATGCAGCTTAATGAAACGTTGTAAGCAAACATCACACCAAATTTATTTACCTTCAGTATATTGGTTGATAGACTTTGTAAGGAAGGAAGGGTTTCAAAGGCTCATGGTATAGTCAAATGGATGATTCAAAGAGGAATAAATCCTAATGTTGTGACTTACAGCTCTTTGATGGATGGATATTGTCTACTCAACAAAATGGATGAAGTTAGAGAAATTTCTGACATGATGCTAAGTAAGGGTTGTACACCTAAGGTTGTTACCTACAATATCTTGATCAACGGTTACTGTAGGTGAAAAAGGATAGATGAGGCATTGAGGCTTCTTGATGAAATGCCTGGCAAAGGATTGATCGCTAACAATTTCACTTATAATTCTCTTATGCATGGCTTGTGTAAAGCAAAAGGTCCTCAGGCTGCATATAAGTTTTTCAAGAACTTGTGTGCCGTGGTAACTTGCTCAATTTTGATAGATGGCTTCTGTAAGCATGGGTGTCTAGATATGTCATTGACCCGATTTCATGAAATGCAAAAGAACTTATTAAGACCTGATCTTATTGTCTATAATACTTTAATTGATTGTACGTTCAAAGTTGGAAAGCTTGAAGCTGCAAAGGAACTGTTTTCTAGGCTTTTCATAGAAGGGTTGCAGCCTGATGTTTGCTCATACAATATAATGATCATGAGACTTTGTAAAGAAGGATTATTAGATGAAGCATTCAAGATTTTCAGAAAAATGGAAGGGACTGGTTACTTTCCAGATAATTGCACATATAATGTGATTATCCAAGGATATCTCCGATACAATGATTCGTCCATGGCCACACAACTTATTGATGAAATGGTTGGCAAGGGTTTCTCTGCAGATGCCACCACCATGGAATTGGTAATAAATTTAGTTATCAACAAGCCTGATGATCTGCTTGCTCAAAAGCTGCTAAGCTGCTCTAAACGTGCTAAGGATGTAAACTTGAAGTGAGATTTTTTTTTTGAAAGGAACTTCAAGTGAGATTTCAGGATAAAACAATTGTTATACAGCGGCAACAGGTTTTATTGTATTTCAAGTTGTCACTCCAACTTGACTCAAGAACATGCTCTATTCTTTGCAAATCAAACTTTAGATGGTAGAATTGAGTATGCTGTGATTTTATATATTTGTATCAGACTCCTGCAGCTTTCCTTGGCAAATAATATCTATTTACATGTGCTATATACATAATATATTTTGGAAGCAGTTGATCCAATAAGTGGTTATTTAGTAAGAGTTTACTTTCCTTCACGCTCGTATTTTGGTTCCTCTCTTATTTTCCATGTCTCAAATAAAGGGAAAGAGTAATTGACCGTGAATTTCAGTTTTGGTGTGTTTTTTTTGCATTATTTCTCATTCTTTGCTGATCAAGCTTTAGATGGTTGGATTCAGTATGCTGTGATTTTAGTTTTGGTGTTTTCTGTGATTTGAACTGATTGAAACAAAGTTAAAAGATGAACATTCGCGTCTATTTTTAGACTTTGGTAATTATCTAAAGAACACATACAGAAAAAACTCATAGAATGATAAGCATACAACAAGTAAAACATTGTACATATCTAAGCAGATGGCAAAGATACTATATTAGCAGTTAATAATAAGGCTTTTGCTACTGTACGGATTAATAGATTTCAGTACTTCGTACAGAAATGGCGAGCAATGTACACGTATAAAAGAAACCTATGAGAGTAGGTTTTCTTAACCGGTTATTCTTTTTAATATAATTATATTTTCTCCTAAATTTATTAGTTTTTTCAAAGAGAAATAAACATCTACTGCCTCCCTTGTAACGTCTTTACTTCCTTTGCCTCGTTTAACTTCAAGCAAATTGCCAGATCTTATTCTAACCATGCATTAGCAGGAGTTATACCGTGAATTAACAGATAACAGTGCTTGCACTGATTTTGCTCAAGAAACATGGGTTTCTTGAAGCCTTTCTCTACTGCAATCCATATGGGTTTTCTTAATGGTTCAATGGAGATATTTGATTCTATATTTTTATTTGGTTTTTCTTGTTTGGTAGAAGATTTGAGTATTGTTGATGATTTTTGGTTTTTAGCTTCAATACTATATGAGATTTCTAGATTTTGAGCTAAAATCATTTCTTTTCAAAAAATTTCCATTTAAGTTTTGGATTTTTAGTATCCAAATGTTTCAGTTAGTCATTCAATTTCCCATTAAGAATAAAGAATGAAAAAATTCTCCCAAAGTAGAAACTCAATTTGCAAGAAATCGTGAAATTGTTGTTCCAAGTACTGGTATGCCTGTAACAATTCTATTATAAGATGTGAAAAGTTCAAGTTGGGATGTAGTTATGGAAGCAAATGTACATTTGCCCATGGCAATTGTAAGCTGCGAAAGCAACTGCTTAATTTGGAAGGTCCTGTATAAAATTGTTACAGACATTTTAAGTGCAGGTTCTTTCATGTAATCTTGAGAAATCTAAGAGAGATTTTGGGTATTACAGAAAGAGTTGGACTATAAGAATTGGCATTATTGAATTTTCATGAAAATTAGTTTGAGGCAAAGCGATTGATTAAGAAAAGGCTTTGCACTATTAGGAGATGGCTTTGCACTAACTTTTCCATCTCCGATTTACTGCAAAGACAAATTGTAAGTATAGAAACTTCTGTGCACCTAATGATCCAGGTTCGATGACATGAATCAAACTAGGAAGAAAACCAAGAGACGCCAATATTTCTATAGAAATTAATTAAGGTAACCAAATTCCTCAATGTCTCAACTACAGATTCTTGGGGTAATGGACCATCGAGATATGCCAATAGATTTCTAATTCTATCTTTTGAAATAATAATCCTCCATTGTCATTGTTGGCAGTGAATATAATTCCGCAATCAACAAGGGTGATCATGAATTTTCCGCTTCCTTCTTCGGCTAGATTTTGAGTAATCTCATTAACAACTGATCAGATATTGAAATCCTAAACCCAAAAGATAACACAAAATTTATCGACATTTATGTTTCAGGCGATTTTTTTCTCTCTTGTGATATCTCCTACCCATCCGATTCTCCTATTTCACAACGATGAAGAAGTTCTTAGTTAACAACTTATCTACGAATCTATAAAAAAACAAACCAAAAAAAAAAAATTTATGAGATAAAATGAAAAAAATATTGGATAATTAACTTGTTTAGCCCTTAATAGGTTTCATGCTTATAATTCAATCCAAAGAATTTTAATTAAAAGATTAACATCTAATGGTAGCAAATAACTTCTGTACTAATACAGAAAATTATCATTCTTTACCGTAGTTTTATCCTAATAATAATGCTAAATCAAGCAACTTTCAGGCTGTATGAACTTGAAGCTTGACAAATCCTGTGATATGTACAGTCTTATAATCTCTCGTAATCCAGTTTCTCTGCCTGCAACCAATTAAAGTAATTAATTGGAAAAATTAGAAAAATGTTTTAGACAATATAACTGAGGATAAGGCTTTTTAACAATAATACCTTGATAAGCATATCTGTTGGAAGCCAAGCTGGTGCAGTTGGAATCCCAACCCAAGCGACCTGTCAAAACCATATCTAACTATTCAGCTCTGAAACCAGAATATGAGTTTTGAACACACAAAATAACTTACAAGTGCATGCTCTCCTGTCTCAAACATTCGTAAATCCAACACCTAAGAATGAAAATATTGTCAAGAAATGCTAATTATATCCTTAAGTAATAATGACTATAATAATATAAAAGAATACCATTCTCTAGGCTGATGCCACTTGAAGCTTGACAAATCATAGTTCGGAATACTCGATCATCAGTCTAACTCTTTAATACGATTCTCATAAATCGTCACTACATAACCAAAGTTTCTCATGCTTGCAACCAAATTAAAGTAAGTTAACTTGGCAATAAAAAATGACTGTAAACCTCGAATGTATAATGCATAATAGGACCTATAACTTTCGCAGGATAAGGCTTTTAACAAATATAACCTTGATAAGCATATCTGTTGGAAGCCAAGCTGGTGCCGAGTATTGGCAGCCAAGATATAAGTCCCCAATCTCCCACCGCGACCCTGTCAAAACATATCTAAATCTATAGTTCACCAAGCATACAATCGAGCAAAACTCTCTCCATGCAAAATAAAAATAGAGTTAATTAGAAACACAACAAAAAAAAAAATAACTTGATCGCTGCTGAAAATCGACTTCTTCCCGTTTCAAAATCCCTAATTTCCGTCTCGGAAATACCAAACACCTAAAGGAATAGAAGAGGATATGTGGTCAGAAGAAATGCTATTATATTGACAGTAAGCGAAAGAACAAGGAAAAAAAAAAAAATGGAAGTGCTAAATCCTCCAAAATCCCCCCGGTTCTTCATATATGTTACGCCTCACCAAAGCCCTTGACATTCCCTAAAAAAAATAAGGAGGAACAATGCAGGCCCAATACTAAGATCGATAAATGACTGAAATAAATAAACATAATATGTGCTTAAGTAAATGTTATAAGCCTATAAAAAGATGCAAATACTACGATCATCTTATACCACTACGCTTTACATTGAACCAACTGTTGACGTGTTACTTGTCTTTGTCTACTCCCAACTGATAAATACTGATAAATGAAACATATTAGTGTTAAGTAAAATGTTATAAGCTATAAAGAGCAAATTAGATATATACTACTTTACATTGACACTGTTGAGGTACTTGTCTTTGTCTACTCTCACAATCTGGCCTTTCTTCACTGCCCAATAATATTCATGAATTAAACAAAAGAAAAACAAAAAAGAAAATTCATTTAGTACTCACTTGAATAAACAGGTTTCTTGGGGATCTGCCTTGGAGCAGTTTTTGTCGTTGAAGGTTGAGCATTGCTGGAGGAGGAAGACTCTTTAGTTTTGGTTTTGGTGGGTTTTCCTTTCTCTGGCTCTACTGATTGTTCAGCTTTAATGGATACCGAATGAAGATGTTGTCTCCTTAAAGACTGTGGGAACGGAGAGAGACATGGAGTTGCAGAGAAAGCAGCCATACCTGAGAAACAGAGAGGTCGTTGAAGGTGATAGTGATTCAGTTTTAGACAGCCAAGACGTGTAGAGATGAGAGATTTTGGAGATAAGAGATTTTGTGGTCTCCCTTATTTTCAACGGCCAGATTTTGGAGATGACAAATATTATATATTTTCTGTTCAAAAAAATTAAAAAAAAAATTATATTCATTATTGTATCCAAATTAGCTATTGAATTAAATTAGTAGGTAACAATTTTTTTTTTTTCGGAGTGAAAGGTAATTTATCCTATACATATATATTCTTATCCAGGAAGTGTAAAAAATCACGGTAATCAATAGATCCTCATTATCAATAAGGAATAATAATACTATATATATATATAACTCAAGTACTTAAATAATTAAAGTAAGTATATTATATATTATATATATATATATATATATATACACACACACACACGCGACGACTTCACAGATTTTTTTTTTTCTTTCTTCTCATCAGTCATCCATATCATATCACTCCCGCGAGAATTTTAAATCGAAGTGACGACATGATTCTATTATTTATAAGCTTGTTTGATTTTATATGTTGCAAATGTGCTTATATGAAAATGAAAATAAAATTTTTTTTCTGGTACTATCATACAGGATTTTAAAGAAGTGACACATGTAATATTTATAATTGTTTGATTTTATATTTATTTTTTGAATTAAATTGTATTAAATGTAGTGGAGTTTCTCATATTTAAAATGAATTATTTAATTTGTAGATTTTAATGATATAGGAAGTTATTTTTTATATTAATTATAAAATATGAAACTAATTAATTCTCCTGTTATTTTCTTTTTTATTCATCTCTGTAAATTTTACCATTCTCAATCCATACTTTTCAATGCATGTTTATTTATTAATTCTCATTCTTATAATAAAAAAATCTATTTTTTATTATTCATCTTTATTTATCTCTTTTAATAATATAATATAAAAAAATTTACTCGAAAATCTATCAAGAAGCTATATAAATTATATTATTTTCTTTGGATTTTTTTTAAAAATTTTCTTTAATCGTGCATAGCACTGGACATTGAGTCTCAATCAATTGTAAAATTTCAAGAAACTTTATATCACAGTTGAACTATTTTGTGATTTTTGATCTTAGACTTTATATTTTAGGTTTGGGGTTATTGGATATATAATTAATTGTAGCTCAATTAATATTATTTTATATAATTAATTAATTAAAAAAGAAAAAGATAAAGAAAAAGTGGGTTGAGGTTGAAGTTGGAATAAAGTAAGGGCATCACGTATAGAAAGTGGAGTGGGAAAACAAAAGAGCTGGTGATAGAAACATGTTTGAATGGATTTTTCAGTAACTATACGTGGAACTTATAAAAGAAAAGGAAACAATACATAAACTCCAAATAAATCCTCGATGAATTAAATAAATCAAATAAATTTTTGTTAAGTAATTTATTTATTTTTTAGCCAAATTCTCTACGAATTCAATCAAACTCTCTAATGAATTCGAGTTGATTAATTTAATTTTCAAAGCTTATCTTTATTTTTTCTAAACTCTGTTCGTTTGCAACTCCTGCAATTATAATTTTATCTCAGGCTTTTGCTATTATACAAAAATATTTATTTCTGTATGGATACAGAATACGAGCACCGCTAGACGAACGAATCGTTCCACGGCACGGGCTTTGTTTAATATTTAAGTGGGCCACGGTATAGAAGTTGAGGTGTACTGCGTACGAGTAATGGATGAGGGTACTATATGTAATTTGATCTTTAGGGTAATAATAGCATAAAGAAAAAGAAAAAAAAAAAAAAAAAAATTGCTCAAACGTCCTGCACCGTCTATATACTTTTATCTCAGGCCTTTTGCTAATGTTATATTACAAAAAATATTATTTTGCCTGTATGGAAATACAGAAATACGGAGCAACCTCTGCTTAGACAACGAATCTCCACCAAGGCGCACGCGCGCTTGTTAGAATATTTAAGCTCGCAGCTCACACAGGTTATAGACACGCTCTCGAAAGGAAGACTGCTAGCAGTACAGGAATCACATGGCATTGATGCAAGAGTACGGTACGTATCGCTCTAAATATATGATCAATTCCTAGTCAAGCCCTCATAAAGTCCGCAAAACATGGTCTAATTAATAGCATAAAGTGATCAAAAAAGAGGACACCGTCGAAAAAAAAAAAAAAGAACAAAAAAAAAACCAAAAAAGAAGGAAAAACTCAGAATACACCGCTGGATTATGTCTACGCCAAGAATCATGATAATGACACAAAATGAATTAGAACACTATCAGCACGTGAAAAAAAAAAAAAAAAAAAAAAAAAACAAAAGAGGAAACTGAACGCTGTTAGTCTACGCAGTGAAAAGATAGAACACTAGGTACAGCACGTGGGACTATAATTATTGTGACTATTAAGAAATTTATTATTATTATTAGTACCGTCTATCGATAAGAATTAAGTTATTATTTTTAAGAAATCATTAATTTGATTGTTCGTACTTAATTTTTAAGAAATTTATTATTAGAACAATAAAGGTTATATTGAATTTCTAATATAAGTTTTTGAAGAATTTTCATTATAATTTTCTTTTTTTAAATAAGAATTTTCATTATAGTTAAATATTATATATTTCAAAAAAAATTTATTATCAATAATAATAAAGAATGCATTTCAATAACGTTATTAAAATCAAATTTCTGAATATCATCGTCATAATCATTATAAAGATGACTCGGCAGATCCGATCTATTATATCTTCAAACTCACCGGATTGAGTTTTATTGAGTTGGATCTTTCAGATTGAATCGGGTTAAAACGACTATAAATATATTTCAATAACAATATTAAAATCAAATTTCTTAATATATCATCATAATCATTATAAAAATGACTCGGTCGATTTAATCCATTGTATCTTTTAATCCACCGAATTGAGTTGAATCGTCTATATTAAATTAGATTAAAACGAGTTCTGTGAAGCCCTAGGAACTATCACTTTCAATCAAAAAAGCATTAATTCGAACTGATTTTTCAACTTCAATTTATCCATTATGAATGATAACTTGCATAGTTTGCTTTTTTATACTAAATTTGAATTTAGTTTAATTTAATTGCAATATATATCAGTCCTACTAAAAAATGGAAAGGTAAAAAACTTTTTAGTTTGATGAACACAATCCTTAATTTGATAAACATAATTAATTATTCAACATCTACAAATTAATCACAATCAACAACTATTATTAATTGAACACAATATAAATATTGAACTTTCATGAATTAAAATGACTCCTTAATTAATTCACAATTAACAATTATCATTACTGGAATAATATTACTGCTTCTGTTCTACAATACTTGTCACATTTAAGAAAATAATTTGTTCCAAAATATTTGTCACATTTATAGTTTCAAGGAGTAATAAATCTGTTTTTTTTTTTTTTTTATGTTTACCCTTTGAGATACTTGATCAGGCACCCTCTCTAAGAAAAATTTAAATGTGCACAAATTATATATGTTAAACATGTATCGAGATATAATACAAGGAAGTAAACTCAAAAGGAGTATATTTCGGGTATTTGATTTACTGGGTCGGTGTTATTATGTTTGACTCCGTGATGTGCTATATGCGACCAAATAATTTTTTTTTTTTTTTTATGTTTACCCTTTGTATATGACCAATAATTATTACTTCAATTTAATAGTCTTTTTAGAGAATTAATATTAAATTAAGGGTAGTGTAGTCAATTGACACAATAATTTTTTGTAATTTAGACAAATTTAATGGTTTTCTTAAAAGACGTGAAATTTCAAATATGACAAGTATTATAGAACAGAGATAATAATTATTTAACTCTTGTAAAAAATTTCGAATTAGCAATTAATAACATAATATTAATTAATAATTAGGAGATACATAAATTAAAATATTAAATAAAATTATTATGTATTTCTTTTAAAAAATTATAATATGAAATTTTTAAGATGCATAATAACTTCATTCTAGTTTTATATATTAATTTGAATTGTCAAATTTTTAAAATTTCAGATTTTGAAATTTAAAATTTAATTTTTAATATTTGATTTAAATTTCAATTTGAAGAGAAAAATCATAATGAATGATGATTTTGTTACATGAGTTTTTTAGTTATTCTATTAATTGATTATTGTTATAATTACGTTTGGAGAGTCTCTTACTATTACATTTAAATGAAACATTATGATAAGAAGAATAACTTAGGAATTACAATTTTAATTTATCATTGTTCGAACATTTATTTGTATGTTAATTTATTTTTATGTATTATATAAATTATATGGATAAACACTTTATTATTTTTTTATTTAATATAATTTAATTTTTAAATAATATGATTCTATGAATAAATGGGTATTCATAGGTAATAAATACCAGTGAATGCCCTCGGATGACAAGTACTCATAAGTATACCCAAATCCATTGGGTTCGGAAATGAATATAACGTTCCCTACCTCAATAAAGTATTGTGTAGGATATGAGAATTGAGAATGTAATTGAATTTGGACATGAATATAACATTAACCAATCCGAACCTTACCCATTATCATCCTCGTTGGATACAGTAAACTTTCAGCTCAGCCATGATTATAGTATAATTATCTCATCCTCATGTATTTATATAATAGTTAATTCTTAGTTAATTAGAAATTAATTATAAATCTAATAGTAAAACTAAAAAGTATTTAAGAAAGATCGGTTTAACTCGACTTTCTTCAGGTATTAGCCGTATGCTTCTGCTCCATTTCCTATCTAATCTTCACATGTCACAGTCATTTCTCTTCTTTTCTTCTTTCACTTTTTAAAACTATTTGTGTATATTTATATGGATAAGCATGGAGAGAGATAAGGACATGCATGAAATTATTAATTTGAATTAAATTTAGCTGCTGGAAATTTTAATAATTATTTTTTTAATGGTCTGTGATGATTTTTTTCTTTTTTCGGTTGATTTAAAATAAAAAATAGTTTAATGAATTTATTTGAGCTATAATGGTGCTCACCTTGTGTTATTCACGATTTAATTTCGATTAAGGAGAATTACGGTGTTTTCTTTGTTTAA